ACAGTTGGAGAGGACTGATCACCCTTTCCAGGAGCCTATGTCCCCTAGGCCGACTATTGTATACTCGCTACCAAACATATCAAACGCACCGAGCTCTCGTACAACAGTTTTGCTGTTGTTACCCGCATTTGCAATCGTTGTTCGTACTTCGTTGTTCTATTATCTTCTGGCTGTACATTGTAAGAAGCAGCTGCTGCCTACTTGCTGTTTAACTGCTGTTTAAGAGTTTTTCTGTCATCTTGCACAAGTTGTAAGTAAAACCTAAGTTTATTTTACCACCTTAACTTGAGTCAGTGTCCCTTTCGTCCCCGGCCTGGTTGTACCGGAGGGTTGGTCGTCCACCCGCCGCAGTTTACCACAGGAGGGACAGACCCCACCCCAGGCTCAGGGTGACTGGGAGGACAGGAGGATGCCCATAAAAGAATGACTGCATCCTGGCCATTACCAGGCTCTTACACGCAAGAGCAACACCCCAGGCTGAGGGACATCATGTAGCCCATGGACCTGCTCCTGGGCAATGTGTGTCAGGCCGTGTGGGAGTACATTGACTGCAAGGACCTGCGCAGAGATCACAGGGACCTGAACTGGCTGATAGCCCACCGAGCCCTGCCAGGGCAGGCCCGGAGGCATAGAGAGGGACATCTGGGGAGACCCAGCTGCCCGTGGCCCAACTGCCACGGAGCCACAGAGACAATTGACTACCTCCTCTGGCTCTGCACCTGCGCTAAGGGGGTGCAAAACAGGGTGAAGCAGCTCTGCGAAGCGATGACCAGTGCCAGCTGGCTGACCAGAGAGGTGGCGCTGTACGGGCACCTCGCCAAACACGAGGGGAAACAATTTGCATCCTGTGTCAGGAGCGCCCTGTGGAAAGCCAGGAACCTCCTGATGTACAGACACATGGAGGTAGAGGTGGTAGACTGTGTGAAAATGGCTCTGAGTGAACTTCAGACCTACTACCAGAAATTGGTAGTGGAGGATGGAGAGGATGCGGCCAAAACCAGCTGGCACAGAGACGCTTGGCACAGGATCTTCCAGCTGCCCGCTAGCGGAGAAGGGGGTGGTGAGAGCAAGGAAGAGGAAGAGAGAAACGGGACTGAGGACAGTGACAGTGACAGCAGCAGTGAGTCCTCCAGTGGGAGCTGGAGCAACAGCGACATAGGCAACAAGTGAACTGAGTCTGTGACCCTGCAATGTGGGGTGGGGATGAAGGGGATGAGTTGTCTGGTCTGAGGGACCAGCATTTTTGTGTGGGGTGCACGGGTGTGGATATTGTAATGGTTTTGGGTTGCCAGCAGGCCTTTGTATGGGTGCATAGGAGCGCGGGTGTGGTTAATGTAACGGGTTATGGTTTTTCTTTGTGGTGTGATACTAGGAGTGTAGATATATATAACCTTAAATATTTTTCTAAAAAAACCCAAAACCAAAAAGCAAACAAAACACCCCTCACAGCTCCAGGCCTATTAGGGTTACCTGGAGCTGTACCACATTGATGCTGGGGCTGGCAGGACAGGGTTGTGTTCCTAGAATATGCCTGAGCCCAGGAGGAGAGAGCAGCCTGGGGAGAAGTGCTTGAGGCCTGCACTGATGGGAGAGGAGGAGCATCCCCAGCAAGGGCAGAGAATCCCCATGCTTGTGCTCTGGATGGAGGTGATGGCTTTGAGGGAGCAGTGGAGATGAGCTGACAGGACAAGGCTTACATTGGCTGCAAGAAGGGGCTGGAAAAAGCTGAGAGGGAGGGAAACCCTAGAACAGAGAGAGCAGGAGAGGCTGGCGCCAGCTGCCCGTGGCCCAACTGCCACGGAGCCACAGAGACAATTGACTACCTCCTCTGGCTCTGCACCTGCGCTAAGGGGGTGCAAAACAGGGTGAAGCAGCTCTGCGAAGCGATGACCAGTGCCAGCTGGCTGACCAGAGAGGTGGCGCTGTACGGGCACCTCGCCAAACACGAGGGGAAACAATTTGCATCCTGTGTCAGGAGCGCCCTGTGGAAAGCCAGGAACCTCCTGATGTACAGACACATGGAGGTAGAGGTGGTAGACTGTGTGAAAATGGCTCTGAGTGAACTTCAGACCTACTACCAGAAATTGGTAGTGGAGGATGGAGAGGATGCGGCCAAAACCAGCTGGCACAGAGACGCTTGGCACAGGATCTTCCAGCTGCCCGCTAGCGGAGAAGGGGGTGGTGAGAGCAAGGAAGAGGAAGAGAGAAACGGGACTGAGGACAGTGACAGTGACAGCAGCAGTGAGTCCTCCAGTGGGAGCTGGAGCAACAGCGACATAGGCAACAAGTGAACTGAGTCTGTGACCCTGCAATGTGGGGTGGGGATGAAGGGGATGAGTTGTCTGGTCTGAGGGACCAGCATTTTTGTGTGGGGTGCACGGGTGTGGATATTGTAATGGTTTTGGGTTGCCAGCAGGCCTTTGTATGGGTGCATAGGAGCGCGGGTGTGGTTAATGTAACGGGTTATGGTTTTTCTTTGTGGTGTGATACTAGGAGTGTAGATATATATAACCTTAAATATTTTTCTAAAAAAACCCAAAACCAAAAAGCAAACAAAACACCCCTCACAGCTCCAGGCCTATTAGGGTTACCTGGAGCTGTACCACATTGATGCTGGGGCTGGCAGGACAGGGTTGTGTTCCTAGAATATGCCTGAGCCCAGGAGGAGAGAGCAGCCTGGGGAGAAGTGCTTGAGGCCTGCACTGATGGGAGAGGAGGAGCATCCCCAGCAAGGGCAGAGAATCCCCATGCTTGTGCTCTGGATGGAGGTGATGGCTTTGAGGGAGCAGTGGAGATGAGCTGACAGGACAAGGCTTACATTGGCTGCAAGAAGGGGCTGGAAAAAGCTGAGAGGGAGGGAAACCCTAGAACAGAGAGAGCAGGAGAGGCTGGCGCCCTTTCCAGCAGAGCAGTCGTAAGGGGTAGGATGGAAAAAGGGGAAGGGAAAGCTTCTGGCTGCAGCATAGGCAGAGTCAAAGAGTCTGTCAGTGCTGGGAGGTGAGTGCCGGTGCGTTGGGAGTGGAGCAGGCTGGAGCAGGGACAGCTACAGCCTGCAAGGAGCTTCCAGCAAAGGAGGCCAGCAGGCCCTTTGGATTGTTGCTGTCTGGTAGGGCTGTGTGAAATTTCTCCGGCAGTTTTGTTTCAATGCTGTTTTGACTCGTTTCAAGCTCGAAACAGCAAAGTCAAAACAAAACAGAAAGCTTCAAAACAGCCTCAAAATGAAATGAGGCAAGTCAAAATGTTTTGAAAGTTTCAAGTTTCAAAGCTCAAGCTGGGCTTGCCTGCAGGGAAACAGAAACTGAAGTAAGGAGAGGGAGGGGGAAGGTGAGGGGTGGGAAGGACTGCTCTCACTATTGACAGTGTAGCTGGCCAGTGACTGTCATCCTTTCCTGAGGTCTCTTCCAATCCCAGTGCTGGGCGGGGGGGATGGAAAAACTGTATAAAAGGCAGCATTGTTTGACCTTCCCTGCTCTCTGCCTTGGTGTCAGTTGGGTGAGGGTGTAGCTGCATGCGCGCGCGCGCGCGCACACACACACACACACGCACAGAGTCACCCTCCCCCCCCCCCAGTCACCCACCCCTGTTATCAGCTCTGTCCGTCAGCAGCTAGAGGTGCAGGGCCCCAGAACCCAGACTCCCCCTGCACCAATCTCCTTGACAGCTGGCAGGCTTCATGGCGGCAGCAGGACTTAGCAGACCTGCACTCTTCTCCCCACTGTGCCCTAAGACGGACACAGTCCCACAAGCACCCATGTCATGAGTTTTGTCTGTCAGCAGCCAGAACCCAGAAGCCCCTGCACCTATCTCCTCAACAGCTGGCAGGCTTTGTGGCCTCAGCAGGGGCTCACATGCTTTCAGTTTTGGCCCCACTGTGGCTTAATACATACATGTGACATGAGTTTTTTGCTTTCAAGACATTGTGGTGCAGTTTCCCTGAAACCCCTGTACCTATCTCCTTGAACCCTGGCAGGCTTCATGCCCCCAGAAGGGGTACCATTCCTGCAAGATCCATCCAAATCAGGCCAGAAATGACAAAGTTATAGGCTGTTTCGAGCTTCCCCATTAAAGCTTATGGGCGAAATGTCGAAACAGCAAAACTTTCAACGAAATGAAATGGAACAACGGTTTGGAATTGAAACAAAATTCAAAACGAAATACTGTTCTGTCAAAACACAAGTCAAAATGGAACGGTGCTGTTTCGCACAGCCCTACTGTTTGGGAGTTGGTGTTTGGTGCTGAGCAGAAATGAGCTGGACTCTCACCTGTGGTTTGGAGCCCCAAAACCAGTGGGATGGGGTAGGATGGAGAGGAACAGCAGTGGTTTGTGGGACATGGATTTTGCTCCATCAGTTGGAAGCTCCTCCAGGGAAGCTAGAAGTGGGAAGGGGGGTGCTAATGCAGAGTCGGTCAGTGTTTGTGTGTATATGTGCCCTTCAGGTAGGCATGGAGGGCTGTGCACTGCAGCACCCTGGCCTGGTGGACCTGGAGAGGCTGTAAACTAGGAAAGCAGCAGGGAGCATGATTGAATGAAACCAAAGGGCTCAGCTCTCCTTTTCATGCTTGAACATGACAGATAAGGCCCACAGGCAGCTGTTGGCTTAGAAACAGCATTTAAAGCCCTTTTTTTTGTGTATTGGCTTATAGGTATAGATATATGCATTATAAGGTGTCAGGATGGGCAGCAGGGGTTAAACGGATTTCTAAAGAGCTTGGGAGATGCACATGCAGCTTCTCATGTCCCTGAAAGTAGATGGGCTGTCTAGCACAACAAGGCCAACAAGGACACAGAGCCTGGGAGCCAAAGGAAGTATGTACCATACTGTCCCATAACACAAGATAAGTGACACCAGCAACAAGGCCTCAGAGAGCAAGAGAGCCTAAGTCCCATTTTTTCCCTACCAAATTAGGAGAAGGCCCGGGAGGCTACGTGGATTTATGATCACACAGAGGAGCCAACCAAAGATAGCCATAATGTAGAGTCATCAGGAGTCATTAAGGGGGAAGGAGAATACAAAAACAGAAACTTGAGATTAATAAAGGGCCCTTCTTGTCCACCCCGTCCCTCCTTTTGTCCCTCCCATCCCTCCCTTTGTCCCATCCCTCCTTGCTTTGCTCCTTGAGAGGGGTCCCCATCCCCACCCCTGTCCCCCGGGAGTCCCTGAAGTCACCATGGACTGAGGGCATACCAGCAGCCCATCTCATTCACCCTGCTGGAGTGGGGCTGTGGGCCTCGGCATCCCACCTCCAGACCGCTGACACCTAAGAAAGAGCCTCGACGTGGAGCCTGCGTCTTGACCAGATGTACTTTGACTCTGATGACAGCACTAGGATTGGTAGGTATAGAATTGTTTGATTGTTTGTATTGTTGGTTTTTTGTTCTTACTCTGTATCAATAAATTCTCCTATTATCGACTGGCAGGGGTTGTGGTCGGTCTGAGGGTTGTGCCCGCTTGGAACAAAGGTATAGGTGCCGGGTCCAAATCCAGTGTCAACAGCAGCTGTGCCTGCCATGTGGGGCTGTTTGTGAGTGGGTGTCAGGGTGGGAAATTCACTAGAACTGCAAAGCTTTGCCTTAGGTGCCTGCCAGAGCCTACTCAGCAGCATCCGGTTATGATGTAGGCATAGGCCACTGCCCTGACCTGGTCATATAATCCATAGGGGTTAACTAGTTGGTGGTGGAGCCCACATTCTTAATAAAACACTTAACTTTATTTACCTTTTGGGAAATATTTCTAGCCACCGGATGTAGGCATTGACCAACTAGGCAAGGCTCTTCCTCATGCTTCTGGAGAAACATGTAAAACAAACAGGCAAGAGTCTGCTGATTGCTGTGGGGGTGGAATTATGAGTTGTAATTAAAGTTTTTATGGCCAGAGTTATTGATTCTTGACAGATTGGCTCCAGTTGCATGACATAGATATATAGGAGCACTCGTACTCCTTGCTCACCTTGGGGATCTTGAAGAAGTTGCTACTGCTGATCATCATAAAACAGGTAAAACTGATATTAAACAGCTGTCTATAGTGCAAATCCAGAGGCTGGCTGGGTCCTTCACAGGGGCTCAGCAAGTGCACCTAGCTGAAGTCCATGACTTCTTGGTCTCTCTGAAGGTTTTCTCCTATCTTGGTTCATGAAAGTCTAGCTGAGTCTCATTTTTGTGGGCATTGATTTTTAGGCCAGTCCTTTGGACTCGCAATGAGGGAATTTGCAGCTGTGCTTTAAACTTTCTTCCCTTGTTTAAATGGCCACCTCTGGAAGGACCCCAGTGATCTTTCTCCCCCTCGGAAGCTGGCAGAAAATAAATACTGTCCTTCCAAGTATTCCTCTAAGGGCTGAGCTGCTCTCTTCTGAATCCCAGCCAGCCAAAGTGGATTAGTGCCAGTCAGCATGGCTTAGTCTGTGGCTACGGAAAGCCTCCAACAGCCAGCCAGAGCTAGATACCCAGTGCCACTGAATGTCACTGGAAACTGGTTGCTGAATGTGCTTAGGGAGAATGTCAGAGTTGCCTCATAATACATAGGAGAAATCAGAGATGGAAACTGTCCCAGGTAGGAGGGGAAGGAGGAGGTTGGGGAATGGCTTCCAGGCTGGGGAAGCAGCAGGACAGGGTGGGAAGCTGAGATTGGGAGGAAGTGGCAAGGGGGGCACTGTTAAGATTTGTAGAGAAGCAGGGCAGTGGGATGAGAGCAGAGATGCAGTCAGGTGTAATGGGGGATGGCTTTGAGGGGTGGAGATTATTTTCCAACCTATCAAGATAGCAGTCAGTTCTGGATCACCACTCTTTTGATGCTGTCTCTTTAAGGAGGCAGCCCTGTTTAGACCTGATAAATGTTATGAGGTGGCCTGACAGCAAGAGTGACCTTTTTTTTGCATATTCACAAGAGGAGAAGCCTCTAGACCTACAGGTCCTGAGAGAAGGCAAAACACTGCACTGACAAAGGAGCTTATGGGTGTCTGTCTGCACTGGCACAACTCGAAGATGATAGTCATGGTGGCAGCCATGTGTAAGGTGCTCAGGGTCTAGTTCTGGGGTAGTAGAGAGAGCTCCATGCCCAGAAGCAGCTAAGACCTCTGTCTCACCTTTAATCTGTTCTTCAACCACATGATGCAAATGGTGTTCCTGGGGAGGGGTGTATTGTGCCTTCTGTATAATAGATTGCCAGCTCCAGGTCATTTCCACCCCAGCGAAGGCCTCGGAGCCTTTGATGATTACTTCCCCTTGGCTTTTCCAGGAAGCACTTGGGAAGAAGGATGTTGCTGTTCGAAACAGTCGCGCTTCTGCTGCTGCTGAGCTGCCCAGGCCTTGGGAAACCCACTGGTGAGTCTCTCTTCTTGGCTGGGCTTGGGTGTGAGGTTGAGTTCCCTTTCATTGCTTTTTCCCTCATGCTGCCATCAGTCCTGTTGGCAGGTAGTTGGGTCTAGTGATGAGAGAATGAACCCGGGATACGGGAGATCTGGGCTCTATTCCTGGCTCTGCCAATGGCCTCCTGTGTGACCTTGATTAAGTCACGTTGCCATTCTGTGCCCCAGTGTTCCCCTTGTAAAAGACCCCTGTGATTCAAGGACTGTACTGGGTGCTGACTCAGGGAAGGCACTTTGCTTGCAACCAGAACTAATGAATCCTCATCCCCACCCAGCGAGTGGGCATGCTTCAGTATCTGCACATCAGTACCAGCCTTCCTAGGCCATTCTCCTGGGGTTGAAGCTTCAGGCCTTGAGCCCCAGGTACATGAGCTATAGGCCTGCAGAACTGATTTTTCAAATATCACTCTTGATCTCCCCTAACTGAGGTACTAGGAAGAAATGCAGCAGGAGACACTTCTCCCCTTGGCAAATGCCTCCTGACTTATGCCAGCAGGTAAACAAAGGACAGTGCATGTCATTTCAAGAATTTCCCAATACCCAAAAATACAGGGAGGACACCAGTCCCAGCCTGTGTGGAGGAGGCTTCAATCAGCCTTGGGCTGGGGGGTTGAGAATGGTATCCCTGGCTGCCATCATCCCAGTTGTAGAAAGTGTCTGGGTTGGCATACTGTGCTCCATTGTCCATGAGGAGGTGCCTGGGGTCTGATGTCTTGGGTATGGAAGAGGAGACTCCTACCAGTGACTCATGCTGTGCGTGTTAGTCAAATGCCAGAGGGTAATAACCAGGAATCCTATCTTTTCTGCTTAAAAATCACAAATTCTCTGATTTAACACCCCCCACCTTCTCTGATTAAAAGACCCCCAAATCCATGTTTTCCCACAATTAAAATGAAACACCATTATATATAGGTATCAGTTGAACACAATGTTTTATTGATATAGTTACAATTTTAAAGTAACCTGGAAGCCTACCAGTACCTCAATCACTATAATATAATAAATTCTAAATACCTATAAATTTTGGTGTTTGATTTTGGTTCTTTTATCATGAAAAATCGGAGTTCTCCCTGCACCCTTCACTCGCCAGGATGCTGGTCCAGCTGCGGTTGTCCCCCCTACTGCTTTGTGGCTCTGAGCAGCCTTGATATGCCGGTGCGCTACCCATGCAGTGCACCTCACTCCCCACCCACAGCCCCTCCGGCCCTGCTGGTACCCCTCACTCCCAACCCACAGCCTCCTGGCCCTGCTCGTGCCACTCACTCCCCAACCACAACCTCCCATCCTACCAGCCTTGCTGGAGTGGGACCCAGCTGCTAGGGCTATGGGGCTAGGGACCCAGGTCCACAGCTCCCTGCCCCACCCCAGCATTACCTGAGTCCTGGTGGCTGCCTGTGGGAGGTGGCGGCTGCTGTGGCTGGAGCAGGGCCTGGAGCCCAGCTCCCCCTCCCCCACAGGCAGCACGGCTGGAGCGGAGCCCATGGGGTGGGGGCAGATGCAGGCTGCCCACTATGGTTTTGGGGCTCCCTGCCCTGCTGCCCTCCCCACTGGGGGCCTCTGTGGCCCAATGGGTAGGACCCAGCACAGCAGGACAGAGTGGGGCAGGGAGGCTCAGTGCCACTGCCAGGGTCCCGGTGCTGCCATGGCGAGGTACTCCTTGCTTGCCAGGCAGCAGCCGGGGGCACAGGTCCATGCCATCACCTTTGCTGTTGCAAAGTGGGCAGGGCATGCCTCACCACAGCAGTTTGGGGCTTCTGGCAGCAGCACGAGGCTCCCTGCCCTGCTCAGCCCTGCTGTGCCGGGTCCTGCCCCAGGGGGAGGGCAGCAGGGCAGTGAGCCCATATCCACCTCTGCCCTGTGCACAAATCTGGGGGACACATGCACCTATGCCCCTCTGGGACTGCACGCAGCAGAGGGGAGCCAGCCTCCCCACTGCCCCCTGGATGACCTGCCCGCGGCTCCATCCTGCTCCCCGCCCAGATCCTGCAGCCATGCATTGCAGCCCTGGGCCCCATGCACCACCAAGCTGGGTAGCAGCCTCAGCCCTGCCCAACTCCCTCCCTCACTATGGGGGCCTCAATACCCAACCCTCTGCAACCCAGTCTGCAAGGGGAAACCTGCCAATTCCTGCATTTTTTTCCTTAAAAAGAGAAAATCTAGATTTTTCTGTGTTTTTCCATGGCAAATGGAAAACCCAGATACCTGGTGATAACTAGCTCCCTGAACGCACTGAGAGCTATAATGGGTTAAGCAGCCCCCCAACCCCCATGCACCAGACATGCTTCACAGATTGGTCTGCCAGTGCTGCATGCCAAACTGATTTGGGTTCTCTGAGCCTAGCTGTGAGAGGCCTTGCTGAAGCCATCAAGGCCTCTCTTTAAACTCCAGCTTAGGAGGTTGCAGCAGGCTCTGTAATATTCAGGCCATGTCCCCACAAGAGGTGTGATGGCCCTCAAACCTGTTGCATGTGGGAGAAAGAGAACCTCAATTTCTCTTTGGCAATGCTCAGTTGAGTTGAGCCTCCAAATGATGATATTGCATTGGCTGTGGAAGCAGGAGCCATGGTCTGGGAGCATGCAGAGGAAAAAGTCACATGAAAGCACTTGGACTGTCCAATTACTAATACATGCACGCATCATGGGGATGAAGATGGCCCTGATGCTGTGTGGACAAGGTCTGCTTGCAGCCCTAGAGGGTGGATTCTAGGATGAGGCAAGGGATGTGAACATGTAAGGGCATAGTTCCCTCACTACTGCCCTTCACATAGCAGCAGGTGTAAGGCATGGCACAGGCAGTGTGGTGTAGGGCAAAAAAGTCCTTCCTTTGAACCCATGCAGTGCCCTCCAGCACTCAACCCCACTGCTCCATCTTAGGGTAGGATGTGGTCTTCTCAGTGTGTTGCACCATATGGGGAAGTCTCTGAAGGAGGAAAAGACACTTTTTACTGAGATGCTGCCTCTGCAACTGCTTTGAACGTGACCTTGTAAATAAAGTAAATTCAGGTTGGGCCCCTCCTGCAGAAAAACAAGCAGCAGGTTGGATGGGGAGGCAAGAGTTAACTCAAAACAGGAGTATCAAGAACCTGGGTTAATGTTAGAATATGTAGAGAACTACCCCAACCTTAGAGTTAATAAATTACTCAGCTGTCAAACAAATTAAACCTTTCTTGGAATGAGAACTGTCCAGAAGGCACAGACTGCCTGAGATACTGGTTTGGTGCAGTTGGGGCTTGGCATTTGTGGTCAATATAAAGGCGGTGAGAAATTGCTGCAGCTCACTGGTTATTGCACATTTGCAAGGTGCTTGCTGCTGGAGAGCTTGGGCAATATTACATTCTCCTCCCAAAAAAGAAACCATCACTGTCTTTTCATGACAATGTTCAAACTGCTCCTCCCTCCTTTGTGATTCCAAGCAGATTGTCCTGGGATAAAGTGTATTACCCCCGGTTTCCCCACAAAGCACATTGTGGAGGTCGCTGCCATCAGCTGGTCAGGGAGTGTAGCCCACTAGAGGCTAATCCTGCTTGGTAGTTTGGAGGTTGTAAAGCCTGCTTTCTCTCCCTTCTGGCAGGTGTTAACTCTTCAGCTTTGTCACCACTTCACATTGGCTGGGTCCTCTGCACTGTTGTGCTCCTGAAAGGCATGCTTGCTGTGAAGAAGGGGAAGGAGAGTTGAGTTTTTAGTCTGAGTTGAGTTTTAGTCTTGACTTATTTTGAAGACAAAAATCCAGAATCTTACTCTCTCCACAGGCCTGCTGTGGAGCAGTGGATAGACCGGCTGTGTTCAGTAAGCAAACTAACCTCTTGAGCCATCCACTCTATGGATGTATCAGTAGGCTCCGTCTTCTTCACCAGTTGCATTAGAAGGTGTTTCTAGCCACCACTGCAGCACAAGCATTCACCTGTACTGGAAAAAACTACAAGGGTTTTCTCTTGTTTTGCTTGTATTTGAGGGAGCTGGGGGAAAATGGTCTCAGCTGCTGAGACTGTTGAGAGGGAGGCAAGGTCCTGCAGTGCCTCTTGAAGGTGTGTGAACATGGAGCAAGGCCATGGGTATGCTCAGAGGGCTTGCAGTCAAGCTGAGGTTGATACCTGCAGGTTAACTTCTCAGTACAAGGTGTAGTATGGGTAACCTGATGTTTCTGTTTTTGAATGCAGAGCTGATCAGCTGCCTTCCTGGATGGTCCTACTCCAAAACCAGCTGCTTCAGGTACTTCCGGAGTCAGCGGAGCTGGGCGGAAGCTGAGGTAAGAATCTTCTATCCAAGAGCAGCTGCTCCAGGGCTAGGGACTCAGTCCCTCTGACTGTCCTGTTCTTAGTCAACCCAAAGAGTGTCCCAGTTTAGTGATATTCCACTTAAGTGTGTCTGATAACCTGAAACAGCCCCATCTCCAAGGACACCAGTGTGCTTACAACATAGTCCAGGGAGGTGATGCTTCCCCTCTATGCGGCACTGGTCAGGCCGCGGTTGGAGTACTGCATCCAGTTTTGGGCGCCACACTTCAAGAGGGATGCGGAGAATTTTGAGAGGGTTCAGAGGAGGCCACTCGTATGGTCAGAGGCCTGCAGGCAAGGCCTTACGAAGAGAGACTGAGGGACCTAGATCTCTTCAGCCTTTGCGAGAGAAGGCTGAGAGGTGATCTTGTGACTGCCTATAAATTCATTGTGGGGGGCAGCAGGGAATAGGAGATGCTCTGTTTACTAGGGCACCCCCTGGCTACAAATTGATGGAGAGCAGATTTAGGTTGGACATTAGAATGAACTTCTTATGGTGAGGGTTGCCAGAATCTGGAATGGGCTTCCAAGGGAGGTGGTGCTGTCCCCTACCTTGGGGGTCTTCAAGAGGAGGCTGGACATGCACCTGGCTGGGGTTGTCTGACCCCCGTGCTCTTTCCTGCCCAGGGTAGGGGGTTGGACTTGATGACCTACTGAAGTCCCTTCCGACCGTAACATCTATGAATGTATGGCACCCATCTACATGGCTCTAGACCACCCTGGGTGGATATGGGGGGGAAAGAGGGAGTGGCAAAAATCTAGATAACTTTGAAGGTGGAGCTTGATTGGTTTATGAAAGAGTTTCTACAAGGTTGTTGCTTTCAATAGCAGGTGACTAGACTCAGAGGCCTGGACGAATTAAATTGTTCCCTTTCAAAATGGCAGCCATGTACCATTGTTCACAATAAGCTTCCTGCCACAGGCTGCTCTAAGATGCCATCTTTCAAAATTGCCATTGTCTGGATGTCATTAAAGCAAGTCAGATATACTCCTAAAGAGTTTGCATGCACTTTTCAGTGGCCATCAGGTTCTCAGTCCTACCTCTCTTCATCCCATTCCATGTGCCTCTCTAAGCCAAGACCCCAAGCTCCTGGGAACAGGGTCTGTTTTGTCTACAGACAACTGTCATGCGTGGGACTCAGTGTCTCTGGTCTACTCTTCTGCCCTGGAACATCTCGTGGGAGGATCACTCAGGAAAATCTGAGCGGTCGCAAAGCTTCATGCGTGGATGACCTCTACCTGACCCAAGAAGTCTACAGGAAAACGAGAGGTAAAGCGCTGTTCGACCTGGTACTGGCAACTGGGGGTGACCTAATCAGCGACCTAGTGATCGATGGGAAGCTGGGTGAGAGCGACTACGAGCTGATCACCTTCACCATCCATCATAAAGCAGGCAAGTCAGTCAACAATACTGAAGTCCCTGACTTCAGGAAAGCTGACATTGACAAGCTCAGGAGGCTTGTAAGTGAGGCCCTAAGGGACCACGACCCCAGGGGGAGGGAGTTCAGGAAGAGTGGTTGCTCCTCAAGGGAGCAATCCTCAATGCACAAGCTAATTCTATCTCAGAGGAAAGGCAGCAAGAGGGCACAGCAGCCCCCCTGGGTCTCCAGGGATCTAGCAGACCTCCTGAGGCTAAAAAGAAAGGCCTACAAAGGATGGAGGACAGGATTCACCTCCAAGGAGGATTATTCTGCACTGGTCCGGTCCTGTAGGGAGCATACCAAGAAAGCCAAGGCTGCAACTGAACTCCAACTAGCTTTGAGTATCAAGAACAATAAAAAGTCCTTTTTCAGATATGTGGGGAGCCAGAGGAAAAGCAAGGACGACATTGGACCCCTGCTAAACCAGATGGGACATCTGACTACTGACGCCTAGGAAAAAGCCAACCTACTAAATGGGTACTTTGCGTCGGTCTTTCATCAGTCCCATGGGACGCCCATGCCCACTACGGGACAGGGAGGTCTGGGTGACGGTGATCCCCTGCCCTCCATCAATGCTCACCTCGTGAAGGAACACCTTGAGAAGCTGGATACCTTCAAATCAGCTGGCCCTGACCATCTACACCCCAGGGTACTCAAGGAGCTGGCTAGCATCATAGCCTAGCTTCTAGCACAGATCTTCGAGAACTCCTGGCGCTCTGGTGTAGTGCTCAAAGACTGGAAGAAAGCCAATGTGGTGCCTATCTTTAAGAAAGGGAGGAAAGTTGATCCAGCAAACTACATGCCCATCAGCCTAACCTCTGTCGCGGGGAAGGTCTTAGAAAAGTTTATTAAAGAGGCCATCCTTAATGGACTGGCCAACGCCAACATCCTGAGGGATAGCCAGCACGGGTTTGTTGTGGGTAGGTCTTGCTTGACCAATCTCATTTCCTTTTACGACCAGGTGACCTATCACCTGGACAAGAGAGAGGAGATTGATATCGTATATCTTGACTTCAGAAAAGCCTTCGATCTGGTATCCCACGATCACCTCTTGGCGAAACTGGCCAACTGCGACCTCGGGTCCACCACGATCCACTGGCTGGGGAATTGGCTCCGAGGTCAGACCCAGAGGGTGGTGGTTGACGGAAGTCAATCGTCATGGTGCCCTGTGACCAGTGGGGTCCCTCAAGGCTCTCTCCTTGGACCCATATTGTTCAGCATCTTCATTAATAATGTGGACATTGGAGTCAGAAGTGGACTGGCCAAGTTCACCAATGACACCAAACTCTGGGCCAAAGCATCCACACCTGAGGACAGGAGGGCGATCCAGGCTGACCTGGACGGGCTTAGGAAATGGGTGGACGAGAACCTGATGGTGTTTAACACTGAAAAATGCAAGGTTCTCCACCTTGGGAGGAAAAACTTGCAGCCTCCGTATAGGCTCAGCAGTGCTACGCTGGCTAGTACTATGGAAGAAAGAGACTTGGGGGTCATCATTGACCACAAAATGAACATGAGCCTTCAATGCGATGCTGCGGCTAGTAAAGCGACCAAAACGCTGGCTTGCATCCATAGATGCTTCTCAAGCAAATCCCAGGACATCATTCTCCCCTTATACTCGTCCTTGGTGAGGCTGCAGCTGGAGTACTGTGTCCAGTTTTGGGCCCCACAATTCAGAAAGGATGTGGAGAAGCTTGAGAGAATCCAGAGAAGAGCCACACACATGATCAGAGGTCAGGAAAACAGACCTTACGATGACAGGCTGAGAGCTATGGGGCTCTTTAGCCTGGAAAAGCGCAGGCTCAGGGGTGATCTGATGGCCACCTATAAGTTTATCAGGGGTGACCACCAGGATCTGGGGGAACGTTTGTTCACCAGAGCACCCCAAGGGATGATGAGGTCGAACAGTTATCAACTCCTGCAAGACCGTTTCAGGCTGGACATAAGGAACAATTTCTTTGCTGTCTGAGCCTCCAAGGTCTGGAATAGCCTGCCATCAGAGGTGGTTCAAGCACCTACATTGAATCCTTCAAGAGAAATTTGGGTGCTTATCTTGCTGGGATCCTATAACCCCAGCTGACTTTTCTGCCCCTTGGGCAGGGGGCTGGACTCGATGATTTTCTGAGGTTCCTTCCAGCCCTAATGTCTATGAAATCTATGAAATCTATGAACTGTGCGGGCCGGGAGCAGTGCGAGGCCCTTGGGGTTTTTTTTTTTTCACACGGCGGACTGTGGCCAGCAGCCCGGACATGCCGGGTCGGGGAAGGCAGGCGGCACGCTAGAATTAGGCACGGACGCTTAGTGGTTGATTTAAGATTATTTTACTTACACCGAAGATGGTCGCGGTGCAGGCAGGAAAACTTGCTTGAGTTGCAGTTACAGACAGAAAAGAAGAGAGGCGGACTAGAGTTCCTTCCCGTGAACCTTTTAGCCCAATCCGGTTGGAGGCTCTAAACCGCGAGCCTGTCGTGCCAACCGAAGAAAGTACTCGAAGCAAAGAGCTCTGAATAGACTCACACGAAGTTTGCTAGGCTCCGTGGAACTTGTGCGCTGGGAAGGGTATGTCGAGGGATCAGGCGGCGACGGGGAGAGGCTGATCAGACCCCTATAGTCTTCTTGAGATGCACGCTGGGTCCGATAGGCTCTGCAGTGCTTAGAGATCTTCACGAGACGTGAAGTTCTCCTCCTCCTGATAGTCGTGGAGTTCTCCAACTTGGGCGGAAACCGCTCAAGCCTCTTATACAGCTAGCAAGCCAATCGCTAGCCGCCACGTAGGAATAATTTAGAACTGGCCAATAGTGGGACGCAAATTTGAATATGAATGGCAGGAACTCCTTGCAGCGTGCATTTCTCCTTTGCAACCTAGAAATGCACCCTGCAAAGAAAGCTATGAGTGGCGGGAAATAATTTAGCCGTGCCGAAGCACACACAAACAAAAATCACACCCTTGGGTTGTGACATGAACAAGGCAGAGATCCATGCTGTTGCTGGTGACTAATTATTCTGTCTTTCTAATTGTTCAGGCCCATTGTCAGTCATTAAAGAAGGATGCTCATTTGGCCACTCTCCATGAGGCCAAGGACCTGCATTACATTGCCCTGGTTGTTTCATACTATCAGCAAACCCAACCTGTGTGGATTGGCCTGAATTACCCTCAGAAGGTATGTGATAACCTCAGACTTCTCCTAGGGTTGTGGGGGGTGCAAGAAGCGGGGCTCATGTACTTGCTGTGTTCTGTCGTCCCTGGAGGTGGATTTACTGGGCAGTAAAATGCCACATTGTAGGTTAGGTGAGACCTGCTGTGGAGTTCTGGAGGAAGGGGGCTCATACTGGGGGGAGGATGGAGTGATAGTGATGCCGAGAGCACTGGGGCCATGTAGTTGCATGGTACAATTCTGTGTGTATGTGATGCAAGTGGTAAATGATGAGCAGGGAAGCTTGCTCTACACTTGGGTGTGCTGCTGCCAGGCAGCTGTGGCCTAGTTCTAGAGACTAGGCAAGGTATGCAAGCAAGAGACAGGTTTAGTATCTTGGGTTTCAGAGGTGATAGGGTCTTGTCCAGTGGGTTGGCCACTACTTCAGGTTGCTCCAGGCTAATGTGAACTGCTTGGTTTTTCATCTTTCACTCACTTCATCATGCCTGAGTGCAGCTTCCTAACAGAGCATGGGCACATGCCTGTCCTGGTGAGACATTGGCTAGCAGCTGTAACAGGATTGGTATCGCCCTCAGAACGTCACTGACTCTCTATCCTCCCCAGTATAACTTTTGAGAGAGAGAGAGAGAGAGAGAGAGTGTGTGTGTGTGTGTGTGTGTGTGTGTGTGTGTGTGTGTGAAGTGACCGACCAGCATGGGGGGAACTGAAAGGATCCCTTACTGAAGGGCAGCCTATTTGTGGCAAGGTGCTCTGAGGAACAATGTGAGGTTCAGACAGCTGAGCCCTGCTTGCTCTTGCATGAATTAGTTGGTAGGTTTAAATGTGCTTAAATGGTTCTTTGAAAATCAGAGGGATTTGGAAAATGGCTCGTGCTGTCTGCTTGGATTAAGTGGCTACTTAATTCACTCAAGGGTTATCAATGGCTTATAGTATATTAACGCTTCACCCAAAGGCTGTGGTGCCTGAAATCTGCCCATGGCACGCCAACCAAAAGGTAATCAGAGGCCCATCTTCCAGCTCACACATCACGTGTTAATCACAGACATGAGCAGCTCATCCATCATGCACCCACTAGAGACTCAGTATCCTTCAGTCCTATCCCAGTCAAACAGTCACAGCACAAGTCCAACTTGTCTCACCTGGTACCCAGAAACAATTGGAAGAACCTCACCATAACTTACACACTCACTGTCCTATCCTGAGACCTCCTACCAACCACAGATTCCCTTTCGATCAGTCTCCCTGGCATGTTTAAGTTGTGTACCTCAAAGGGCAGTGCTGTTTGCTTTGTGGGAAGGCACAAAGGCTTTAACTAGAATTGGAGCCCCATTATACTGGGGACCGTGCAGAAAGAGGAAGAAAGGTCACCACTATGATTTTTGGCACATGGGCCACCAGCTGCAGAGAGGTGTGTGTTCATTAGCATTGTACATTCTTTTTATTCGTTACACATCCTATACACTGACCTTTCCTGTTTCATGTTTAATTATTTTCTTCCTTTCCAACCAGCTGGACAGCTGCATTACTTGTGGAAGAAAGGACTCCATCATGTTCCTTGTGTTACAGTTAGAGTCAATGATTTCTGAAGCTGATTTAGACATATGTCTGTTGGATAGCAGGTAGACCGCTAGATAGGACAGCTTTTGGGTTACTTTACAGATGACTTTTAGACTTAAGTACAATGATATTGTAGTGACCACCAGGATGTTTAAACAATTTCCTTCTTTCCTGTCATTTCCATACTTCTAAATGCTTTTAAATTGTATTCCTTAATATGCAAATGTTATACATTTAATGCTGGTATTAAAGCAGCACCCTCAATATCAAATATCCTCCTAAGGAATTTTGAATCTATGCTTTTCTGGTTGCAGAACCAAGGCTGGAAGTGGCTTGATGGAAGCACATATAAGTCCACTTCATGGCTTTCTGCCAGTGGGAGCCATAGTGGATCATGTGCCGAGCTCTCCCAGGATTATGGTAAGGCATGGCGGTAGGTGGCTCCCCCAGGAGAATTCCCAGCAGGATCCCAGCTGAGCTAGGTAGAGCTGTTTGTGAGTTCCCAGGATCTCACAGGTAGAACTTGATGGCTTACCTATATTAAAGTAGGCCTCAAAGGGCCCTTAAGGCCTTAGGGGAAGTAGGATATCCAAAGGGGCTGAAGAACATATTAAAAGAGCAACATCAAGGATTAGGCATATTTAGTCAGCTACGTAAGTCCACAGGAGTGTTTCAGCATATCAAGAAGATGGGATCAGCCTCTTCTTGAGCAGCACATCTGGTGACCAATGAACATCAGTTCTAGTCACCTCATGACCAGTCTCAATATCAACATATTACATCATCAGAAGGAGGCGTAAGAGTGTACAAAATAGTAGTGAATGGTCTAGAATGGGGCATGATGAGCAGAAGGGAGGCAGTGAGTGAAATGAGGGGTGGCATGTTCTAATATTGAAAGAAAATGCCACATAGGAGGCATGGGTAAAGGCTTTGCTCAGTGCTGTATTGTCAATGGGTTCCATGGGCTAACCATGTTCAGAAGGGATCAGGCACTCTTCCAGGTGAGGAGATCAGGGGTGATCAAATATTAAAAAAACAGAACAACAACCAAAAAAACCCCCAGCTGTCTTGGTAAAGGCAGCCTCTAAGTATTAGGGCTAGGAGGGAACCTGTCGTGGTCATAAATAGGGGTTTTGTCTCTGAAACAAGTCACTGGCTGCTACTGGATACCAGATAAGGGATAAGAAGGGTCCTGGTCTGAATCACTGTGGCAATTTCTGTAATCCCAGGCCTCCCTTTCTCCTTCATCCACAGCTGGTTGCCATTGCCCTTGCTTCCCCCACAGAACAGCAAAGCTTTCCTTCCACAACATGGGTCAATGCTCTGTCACATCCCACCACCCCCACCAAGGCTGCTTGTGTCATGCCACTTCCCAGCCCAGTTGGGCATACTCTGCCACTGCTGCCTTGCTCCTAGGAAGTTCTGCTTCAACTACATCTTTTCTTATTCTGGCATCCCTGTTTCTTGATTACTTAGACAATGTCCAACCCTTCCTCACCTCCTGATATGAGAATATTCTGGCAGGTCTCATCCGGCTGCCAGACTACATTGGACCTGCTCCTATCCATACCCCCATGTCCTCACTGTAGGATCTGATGCACCAGGCACAATTTGCAGCTCCACAGAACATGCCTTACCCCATATCACACCCCTGGGAGCTTGCCCCAGTGCTAGTCTTCATTTGCATCTCTTCACTCCCCCCCCCCCCCCCCCCCCCCCCCTACTTCTGTGCAGTGATCTTAATGCCTCTCCTAACACAGGTAATATCTGTACCAGTAACTGTACTGCTGCTTTTCTTTGCAGGGTTTAAGAAGTGGTCTGGTGCTGACTGCCATGAAGCTCATCACTTCGTGTGCAAGTACACAGTCCTACACTGAGCAACAGGTCCCACAGCCACCAGTCCCTGCTCCTTGTGCTATCCTGACACCTTCATCACATGGCAAAGCTTGATTTAGTTCCTGCCAAGGAGAAACACACAACTTGTCCATAAGCCATGACTATTCTCTGCAGTGATCTCTGCTGTTCTGTCTCAGCAGGGCTGGCTTTTTTCTGCTAAATGTCTCTCTTACTGAATGAATTTTGTGCTATTAGAAGGCTTCAAACCAATGGCAGTAGAATGTGAAATCTCATAGTTGCAGGCTGGAGGCCATCTCCCCCTTCCCAGTTCAGAGGCTTATGTGGGTTCACTTGGAGATATCTATTGCTGGGTTCAGTATCTCTAGCATAATCCTCCCCCATGTTACCTGCCCTACAGAGAGAGAACCCTATTTCTACCCCGTGACCTATTGACTCAGGCCCTCCTGTTGGTATCATTGGCACAGTTAGTGCCAGATACCAGTCCAGAGTCTCTTCATGTAGACTCCCATCTACTAAAGACTGGGCTGAGAACCAGCAGCTCACATTACACAGGCTGAGCCCACCCCAGTCTTCCCCAGCCATCACAAGGGAAAGATTATTGGTCCTTAATTGGCCGAAATCAGATGCGACTCTGCAAGGCAAAGCAATGATCCTCTTATCCTGGGAATGTCTGCTCCCTCCTTCACTCCTGAAAGCTGCTGGCAGTGCGTGCTAACCTGTATCTCTGAATAAACGGCAATGGTACAGCTCTGTGCACAGGACCTCTGTTCATCTGTGCCAGGTTTTGTCTTATGGTTGACGGGAACATCTGTTTTTCTAGGGAATGCTATGGAATGAAGCTTTTTCCATAGGCCTATCCTCACCCTCTACCACAGGTAAGAACGCTGTCACAGGACACTTGTCACTGCAGTTAGCCTGGACTCTTACTTGGGTTTGCCCCCCCCCCT